GATTGGTGCCTCGAAACATGTTTTAAGCTTTCATATAATATAATGTCACAGATCCTCAGTAGATACAGCCACATTCATTCAGTTTAAGCTCAGGTGGGGTACCCTGGACAATCTGAAGATCACTGGATGATTCGTGGGCAACTGGTTCAAACCCAAGCACTATTTATCCAAAACCACTCATTTAAAATAAGTCAAATGAGCCACTGTTGAAAAGTGCCTGTTTCTCTTCACTGAATATAAATAGAGCCTGGGCTAACCAGCTTCCTAGAAGTAATCTAAAATGAAATTATGCCCATCCAACTCAGCTCCTTATGCTTTTACTCTTCTTATCCTCACTGTGTGATGGAATCGCTTTATAGGCAAGGCCAAGTCACTTCACTTTTTTCTTTTAGGTAGCTAATCTAGAATGGGAAAGAATTAGTTATTTTTTCCTGAAAAAGCCTGTGGGATGGAGGCAGTAAGAGGAGCTTTGTGCATAACAAGCCAAAGGCTGCACTCATGTCCTGTCCTGGTGCAGTGACAGCTGTGGAAAGTAGCCCTGTGAGAAAGTAGAAAACCAAGATTTGAAAGAGCTGCATACATTATTCACAGATTCTAAATCCAGAGGGAGATGTGAATGATTTTTCTAACCTTACTTTATGCACGAAACAGGCCATAGGATTCTCCTCACTTGATGATCCTCTTTGTGTCCCAGCCATCATCTCTTGGGCTGATATATATGACTCATTTTTCCAGTACCTTCCAGCCAGCCCAGGATGCTCTACTTCCCCCTGGCCCATTTACCAGCCCTTTTTAAAAAACAAGACTCTGGTTTGCAGGGAAAGACAGACCAAATTTTGATGTTACTTTTTTCCTCCCTCCTTCTCTTGGAATGGGTTTCTCTTTGCTTTTCAGACAAATTTATTTTCTTTTCAAATTTTCCTCTCTCCTCATCATGAACTGCTAAAGTGTAGTACCCACTACTTTGTAAAGTCTGTTGTAAAGATGAAACCAAGAGGAAATTGAGTTAATGGATTAGACCCATTCAGAGAGGAAAAGTTCATTGAGGCACAGAGCTGAGTCTCTAAGGCCTGTCTCAAAAAGTCCTCAGAGTTGCCTGTTACTGAAAGCTAGGACTCTGTGCTTAGATGGTGTCATTGATCTTTCTTTACACATCAGGGTATGCAGGGTGATCAGATGACTGGGTGTCAGGTCTGACATTTGTCCTTAGGTGACTACCAGGGCTTTGATGGGCATTTTAAATTAATTTATTAAACATTAGCAAAGTGTAATTGTGTGAGTAAATGTCAGGTCTGGAGTTCGGACCAGTTTAAACTTGGGACCATCCCTAAGAATCCAGACGAGTTTGGATCCAGGTTTGCTATTTACAGAGCAGCCATTTATGAGGAGCAGAACAGGAAATAAAACTCCCAGGTCTGAGATTGTTTCTGTAATTAGGTAAGGTGGAACTTGGGATCCGTGTTTCTGGAGCCTTGGGTGAGCAGTGAGACAGATTTTCTGTAAATGACAGTTATTACTGCAGCACCAAAGTGCCAAATGGGTTAAGGCAGCCAACCATTAGCCAAAGAAGTCTTCTTCTGTTCCTTTGTGCTTTTCCAAAAATCAGTGTGATTTTGTATTCATAGCTGTTCCACTGGGAAAGATTAAGACTATCAAGATGGGATTTATTTAATCTAACTCAGAGGAGAGATCCTTTTGCCTACAGATAGGTGCATAGTACCTTTTCAGATGCTCTGTCAGCCCCACATGGGTCTGGCAGAGAGGATACAGATCCTCTGGAAAGCCCATACCATTCTAAGTAGTAGTTTGAGGTCAGGCAGGATACACCATGGCACCAAAAATGGCTCTTAGTGACTGTGTTTAGCCAACTAAATGCAGCCCTGTAATACAGCCCTATAATATATGCCCTCCCAACAGGTCTGTCTATGCAAGTCACATAAAGAGGTGCTTCAAAGTGGGGAGAGTCATCTCATGCTGAAGTAAACATCTCAAATAGACAGGAGGAACTATAATGTAAAAGTAGCTATTTTCCTCCATCGGTTGTTAAAGGAGCTGGTGATAACTAGCTCAGGGGTAGATATCTACCTTAGGGCTGTGTACGAGACTACTCGGTTTTATTGCAGGCATGAGACCTAAAGCATCCTCTCCAGCGTTTGAAAGATTGCACAGCGAAGGAGAACGTTGGGAGAAAGATAGAAGGAAAACAGTATAACAATAAGATGTTTGCAAGACCATCCACCTTGTTGACAAGTATGTGACTACAAACATTAATGGAAGAGGCAGGGTGACAGTCACTCTGAAATGCAGACTTGAGATTACTCAGTACGTCCTCAGGCGGATTTTAGTGTTTTAGTGTCTTCAGACCCACAGGCTTGAACACTGCCCATGTGACTAAGGATGTGCAGCATATTCAATGCAAGAACTAGGAAGAGGACTCAGGATGAGTGGTCTACGATGCTGTTCTGGCCTCGGTGTTCCTCTCTCCTAGAAAATGTTATAGAAATAATGTCCCTAGCAGGCTTTCCTCTGACACCTGGGCAGCTTGTTAAAAGTGACCATCAATGTATCTGCCTTCCTGTTGCTGCTGTAGACAGTTGTGGTCTCTTATCAGCCCTGCGTCACGTGTACCAGTGCCAGTCATAGGCCTTAGCTGGGCAAAAGTGCCTCGGATGGTACTGTGGTTTGTGCTTGGGGAGCTGAATTGTCTCCCTGAATGTGACCTCCATTGGGATGCTCAGCTTTTGGTGGTACCCAACACACAGTGAGCTTCAGCTGAGACAATCAGTATTAATGCTTCCAATCAGATGAGCAAGCCAGCTGTCACTGGGGATCTGTGCAAACATACATGAAAATCTAGGTGAGAAGTATTAATACATTCTTTCTGTATGTCATCATTGTTTTCTTTCTGCAAACTTTGGATGAGGGAGAATGAAAAACTGATTTATATAGAATAAGAGTATTTCTAGTGAAGTAACTCCCAAACTTTTCAGCTAGCAATTCTCCTTCTGGACTGATGAATCACACTTCTGCAATTTAATTTCAGAGAAGATCAAAATCTCTAATTTTTCTGATGCAGCCTGTAGCAATTTGAATTTCCAGTTCCCTCCTGTCACATCAAAGTAGGACTCATGAAACTCAAAATGCTTTCTCCAGTCCAGTTCATCATGTTAATCCCATGTGATTAGTCTTTTGGAACTTGCCCTTGCCTAAGAGTCTATAATTCCATCTGGCACCTTCCATTATGATTGCAAAAGTGGCAAGTTTTAGATTGGTACCTTTTTTGCATCCTCAATAGAAGTAACCCAAACCTGGATGTGAGCTGACGAAGAACCTCAAGATTTGGTAGCAGAATTTCAGAGGCAGAAGTTTTCTTACTGTGGGTGAGAACACCCCCACCCCCCTCAGTAGACACTGCATGAACATTTCTCTTTCTGGTATTGAGGAATGGTGCAATCACCAAAGTGAGGAGTTTAAGATTCAAGTCAAACGAGTGATATGAAGCAGTTTTTGTCTCTGAAAAATAGAGTGAGAACCAGTTGACTTCAAGCTCTTAAGTATGAGAAAGGCAATTCTGGCAAGAACAAGTATACAAACTGCATTGTTTTATTTATTTCTTATAATCCCTAAGGCCCTGCTCTGCTAAGAAAATAATTTCAAAAAGTGTCGCGTTAACTCCTAGAGCAGCATTTTTGTATCTCACATAATAAGTGTTTAATATACATAATTCCCAATGCCGCCAGTGTCTATTCAGGTGCTTATTGCACCATTTGTTATAAACCATGTTACAGTAACCGCAGGGAATGATATGATGGATGCCAAGGTACTGTAATCACTGAAATATAGCACATTGCACGGGAAAAAAAAAAGAGCATAATTTGAGAACACCTTTAAATTGGCAGCTCTGCTACAGCTTTAATAAAAAGTTGGAAGTCAATCACAGAATTGTTCCATTCATAGACCGCAAAATGCCAGGAGCCCTGGGACTCTCGAAATGCATGTGAGAGAAATATCTTCTCACAAGCTTAGGTTGTGACCTCAGCAATCCTGAGATAACAATTCTGTACTTCTGACAGTGTACATCACCGACGATTTTGAGACAGATCAGTATGTTGTAAGCTACCCTACTTTATGTGTTGAAAGCAACCCAAAACTTGCTCCTAGGTGCCAAATCTTTCTGCTGATCACAGTCTACAAATCAGAATCTTTTTTTCAGGTTTGTGGGTTTTTTCTTTCCTTTTTACACTGAGAGGAAACTTATGTAAGAAACTCGCTAGCAGATGCTACAACAACAGTAATTACAGCAAATCTCAATTCTCAGTGGTGAGATTGTAACAGAAATAATAATTACCCAGTTCAGCAGATTAAAAAGGGAAGTGGTAAAACCATCATCTCACCTTTAAAGACAGTGCAAAAAAATAGGCATTTTTCAGGTATGATTCATCTGCTCTGTTTTAAATGTCTCTTGTGGAATGCAATGTATAGCCTCCACCGAATACAAAGGGTGACTAGCTCACATTCAGATCTCTGCAATGCAGTCTGTACTTTGGGTCTGGGGAGCCCTACCTAACCATTACAGCCTGCTGTGGAATGGGAGGATGGTTTCAAACGCCTGCCCTATCAACTCAGCACAGTGCTGCCAAATACTCTACGCAGGGAGCCTTGGATGAGCTAAGCCAGAGACAGATGCAAATAGCCAAACAAATCCCACCCGTAGTTCCTTGTGGCACCCAGGAAAGGAGTAAAAGGGAGTAAAAATAAATTCCTTGCTGGGACCATTAATTTTCTACTCCATTTTCATTGCTGTTTTGAAAACATCAATAGCTGTTGGATATTTGCTGCATAATCTGATATTTCTAGTAAACTTCTGAGTCTATTGCAACCAATGGTAAAACCAAGAGCCTGTTTTCAATCAGACTGGAACTGCAAAATGTGTGTCACATCCTTTAAGCCATTATTTGACTCACTGGTCTCATTTTTCCTCTCTCTTCCTTCTTTTCCAGATAAATTTTGTATTTCTATTTAACATAGTTAGGATTTTAATGACAAAGCTGAGAGCTTCAACCACTTCAGAAACAATACAGTACAGGTAAGTCAGCTGGTGCTTCTTGCTGTTTGTGACGTTAAGAAAGAACTGCCTTGCCTGCCCTGTCCTTGTCCCATTGTTGTGGTTTAAGCCGGCAGGCAGCTGAACACCACGCAGCCATTCACTCTCTCCCCCTCAGTGGGATGGGGAAGAGAATCAGAAGAAAGGTAGAACCCGTGGGTTGAGATAAGGGCAATTTAATCGGACAGAAAAGGAAGGGAAAATAATAATAACAATCAAAGAATATACAAAACAAGTGATGCACAGTGCAATTGCTCACCACCTGCTGACCGATACCCAGCCAGTTCCCGATCAGCGGCCGTGCACCCCCAGCCAATTCCCCCCATTTTTTTTTGTTCAGCATGAAATTATATGGTATGGAATATCCCTTTGGCCAGTTTGGGTCAGCTGTTTTGGTTGTGCGTTCCCCCAGCTTTTTGTGCGCCTCCAGCCTCCTTGCTGGCAGGGCAGTATGAGAAACTGAAAAGTCCTTGACTTAGCGTAAGCACTGCTCGGTAACAACTAAAACATCAGCGTGTAATCAACGTTATTCTCATCCTAAATCCAAAACACAGTACTATACCAGCTACTAGGAAGAAAATGAACTCTATCCCAGCCGAAACCAGGACACCCATCTTTGTCTTTCCAGATGCCACTGTTGATCTCAGAGGGTGTCTTTCTTGCCCCTTGAGCGCATACAGTTAGGTACACAGTATTTATTTTTGCAGGTTAACCATAAAAGCGTGCCTGCATTTTTTCTGTCCACTCCATTTCAACGTCCAAACAGTGCAAACAGCCTAGGCTTACAGGCACAGAGACCCGTGCACTGCTGCAGCCACCAGCCTTTTTACCTCCTTGCACATGCCCCAACACACACGTGAAATTTCCCCCTCCCAATGAAATCTGAAGGGTTCGATTTCAAGTGAGAATAAGGAACTTTCTCAATTCCTATATGTACACAAGCATATGTATTGTATCATATAAATATGTCATAACTCCTTTCACTGATGACTAGACCATTCATTCAGCTAATCTGGAGAATCAGTGAAAAAGTGTTCGGTCCCTACTAGGTTGCTTCTCTGTCCCAGTCTCTAGCTTTGTAGATGCAGAACAATACAATATCAAGACTTCCCAATAAATCATGTGCATATGCGTATTAAGATCCTTCTTCATACTAATATCCTAGCAGAGCCAGAAGTAAAAGAACAGAGCCTCGGCCAAAACATTCATATCGTTGATTATTTCGGTGCACATAAATGTATTTACAGTTGGGTTTAATGTTCTTTTTAAAGTGTAGGGTATGGGAATGAAGGGCGATTGTGCCTCCTCCCTTCAGCTGGTACCAGCATTAGTGTAACCACTCAAGGGGTTGCATCACAGAACTGATCCTTAACTAGTCATTACCCTTACATGGGGTGGATCGCTTTCCTGAGCTGGCTGGCTGTGCAAGCTCACAAGCCCTAGTATGGCAGAAAGGAGAAGACAAGAATGTTTAGCCCAGGACAGCAGGGGGGCCTGGCCCCTCTGGCAGCAGCATGGACTTATATCAGCCTAAACAGTCCAAAAGCAAATTCTTAGAGATCAGGAGATGCTGACTGCCCTTCCTCTCTTACCATTTGCAGTATCTTGCAAGATATTTGGAGCGTTATGGACAGAGAAGTCCTCACACTGGGAAGTAGCACAGGTTTTGTGGAGTAAGATTGGTCACAATCCTCTAAATCATTTCTAGATAAAATCTGAGTGTGTCAAGCTGAGGCTTGAATCTTGATGTCCTCAAATCAGCCTGCTCTTGACTTTGGAGGCAGTTTTGCTGCAGTAATGGGGTTTTGTTGTTTTGCCTGATTCCGTCCTTTTACTCCTGGCTGAGGTTTGGGAACAAATGTGAAGTTAATGCAGTGGTCTGATTTTTTCAGACTCTTCTCTGCACATTTCCTGAGAAATGAAGGTGAAAAATACCCCTTTTTCATGCTCAAACCTCCTGCCATAAAACTAAAACTAGCTTGAAAAAACCCTGATTCAAATCTCAGTACATTTTTATCCCTTCCACAGTTTGCAGGGAGCATTAGAGATACTAGATTCTGAGGCAATCTAAAGTAACTGCCTTCGTCCTTGAACAGATGACGGTGATCTTATCCTCGCTACAAGCTCTGTGAGGGAATCTTCTTTTTCACAGCCTAAATAGAAAGCCATATAATTCCAGGAAAGCCTGGGGCAAGTCTTGCTCCTCTAAAGCTGAGTACTCCAAACATTTGTTAAGCAAGTATTAGATGATGTGGCAGCTACTTTGTTAAGACTGTCACGCTATCCTGACACTGGCAATGTTTTTGTGCTCCCCTGCCTACCTGCCTGTCTTTATCTGCCTCTTATGGCATTATACAAAGATTTACACAGACTTAGCAAAATTGCAGTCTTCTGTGTTCGTACAGTATCTAGCACAATTTCTGTTCTGCAGCTGACATCCCAAGACTCTATTATAGCACCAATAATAAAGATTAGCCCCTAATAATTCTGTTAATAATCACTTACGCTTCATTGTGCACCACCTGCTTGTTTATTATTTATAAGACAGCCCTAAGCAATTGAGTTGGGTGTGCAGGTATTGCAGAGAGAGAGAAAGCATTTACACTCCAGACAGAATCAAAAGATGGGCATGGAGCAGGTCTCATAGGCAGAGCATCCCTGCCCCGGTCAGCAGCTAAATTGTGCACTTATTGCATCACCCTGAGGTATACAAAATCACTCATCAAATCTGCAGAGAATCTCAAGGCTTCAGCCTAATGCAAGCCTCATTGATAGGACAGAAACTGTTTGGAGGAAGAAAAGAGAGCAAGGGAAGGATATATAAAAGGTTCCCATTTGTCCCCTGGAGTTCAGTGTGGGGACAAACAGCAGGATTCAAAGGCAAAGGCTTTCTCAGAACATGTTTCTCCAAGTGGTCAGGGACTGGTCAGAAAGTGTTAACTAGCAAACTCACCTGTGGCTTGCCTCATTGATAGGACAGAAACTGTTTGGAGGAAGAAAAGAGAGCAAGGGAAGGATATATAAAAGGTTCCCATTTGTCCCCTGGAGTTCAGTGTGGGGACAAACAGCAGGATTCAAAGGCAAAGGCTTTCTCAGAACATGTTTCTCCAAGTGGTCAGGGACTGGTCAGAAAGTGTTAACTAGCAAACTCACCTGTGGCTTCACAACCCAAAGTGGAGTCTGTCACTCTTTTCCCCCCTACTAAACTCTATCGAGCCTGTCGGACATGGTCAGGCTCCCTCTTAAATATCCTTTCCTGAGCCCTAAGAAACTTGTGTTCTTCATTGCCTGAGGACCCTAGGAGCCTCCATCTTGGGTTACACAATAAGCTGGTCACGAACTTTGGGACAGTTACTGTGCAGGCAGGCTGAGAAGTGTCTAAAACTTGGATGTCCTCCTGGGAAAAAGCTGAAATTATTTGGCTATTGTGCAAATATAGGCTTCCAGTGCTCTCCTCAGCGTATGTTCTAGCAGCATGCCTCGAGAGACGGAGGTACCCACAGGGAGTACTTGTGTTCCCTGACTCCATTCACTCATGTTAGACACTGGACAGAAGTTGACATGTGAATTTCTCTCTTAAAATGCTTCTTTCCTCCAGTGACTGTACATATTGGACATGAGCAGACATGTCTTAGGCCATCCTTTTGTTTTCTTCTCACGCTGTTTGACATGTGCAGGTGCTGAACTGTCTTAAGAAGGCACCTAAGTTCCCTCTCTAGCTGATGTAGGTACTTCACTTCCCTCTGAATTGCTCTGAGACTCATCCCCTCTCTCCGCTAAAGGAGTGATTTTGATTGGATTGGGTCAATCTACGGTGGTTCAGGTAACAGTTGTTCTTTCTCGTGTTCACTTGTGTTTTCTGTTTCCTGCCCACAGGAAGGCAGTCAAGGCAACGTTAGTTCTTCTGCCTCTGCTAGGCATCACCTATATGCTTTTCTTTGTCAATCCTGGTGAAGATGACATTTCCCAGATTGTCTTCATCTACTTCAATTCCTTCCTGCAGTCTTTTCAGGTAAGAGAGCAAGTTTACAGCTGGTATCAGCTACTGCTGAAAGGATTCTCAGTGCTTTTCAGCCATAAAACCTAGGGCAATGAAGTCCATGATAGAAATATTAGTTGAAAATAGCTCAGCTTTGTTCATGCTTACATAATAGATATATAAGCATGTCATATGGAGTGGAGATCTCCTCTCAGGTGTGTACTGGAGGGATTCATCTCCCTTAGCATCAGCACTATGTTCAGTCTATAATTACAGCTCCTCACCTGGGCTCCATCTAAAGTCAACGGAGAGATGATGTTTTATTCTATCCTAAACTGCCTGAGAGAGGATCATGAATCACCCTCCCAAGGTACCTCTCTGTTCACAGAGCACACAGTGAGCTGAGATTTAGACTAGGTGTTTGCTAAAACAAAGGGAAACAACTCCTACCTACTGGGCTCGCTTGATTAAGACATTAGCTATATTGCCCAGCCTCTCACTCCAGCTCTCCTGCAATGGTGCATGCAATCAGCCATCAGTCCATACCAACTGAGAACTGATACCCTATCTCCTCCCTCCCCTGAATTTAATAGCAATTCTGCCAGGATGTAAAAGGCAGTGGGACATGAGTAATTGCCCCAGCTTTCTGGATTTGGCACAAAACCAAAAGTGACTGAAGACCTTGAATGGTGTTTAGCCACACATTTCTGCTCTACCTCTGCTTAAAGACCTTCTTGAACTAGGGTGGAACTGTTTGACATTGATGTTTTACCCGATATCTGCAGGAACAAGCACTCTGATAGCCAGGTTATCAATACAAATATACAGCACACACACTGTCAAGCCAAATCTAGGGTTATGGATTACAATTGAGCTTTGGATTACTGTTTTTACTGATTGCATGTTTTGCTTTGAAACACAGAGCATCCCACCAGAAATCACAACTGAATATCCAAAATGAAAAATGTCCTTTTTGATCTATGAACAAAGGAACTTTAGCCTTTACCAGTGAACCAATCCACATTTTTCATTCCCTAAAAGTAATTGTATTTTTTATCTGCTGATGCTCAATGTCTCAAAAAATGCTACACTGCTTATTTTATTGTTAGTGTTATGAAGATGTATGTAAGAAAGCAAGCACAGAGAATCTCTCCTTTATAGTGACAATAATTACAGTCCATTGCTGAAAGCAAAATGGGTAGGATTCCGCTCACAGGTTTAGAGATGAAAGTGTCATCATGTTGTCATCTGAGCTTCCATTATAGTCATTACAATCTTTGCAGTCATTACAGGGGTCTAGACACTGCTGTCAATGGATTCCACAGAGCAATTCAGCTCAGATGAATGTAAGCAACTTGATGATACATTTGCTCACACAAGACCATCTAAGACCGATTGACACCCCCCTGTAAGCATCTGAGACATCTGCATAGAGCTGGCAGGCATGACGTGACCTGTGAGGGGTCTGTGCCATTCTGGGGAGGCAGCTGGAAGCACAGCTGAAGTGGCAATCCCCTCCCACAGTGTCTAGATTCTAGCTCTCATGGCTCACCTGTGAGCTGCAAGACACTTAGTATTTTCTCATGAAGTTGTAGGGTAAAGATTTCGTCTGTCTGGAAGTGGGTGATCTCAACAAGATTATGTTTTTGCTCAGGATGATCCCAGGATAAAGCTCAGTCTCCGATTCTGCGTGTTAAAGTACTTACCTAGTAATTGATTGCTTTCTATTCTTTCCAGGGTTTCTTTGTGTCGGTATTTTACTGCTTCTTGAACGGTGAGGTAAGTAGTGTCCCCTGCTGTCAGTGTAATTAATTCTCAGGAGGTGGAACCTACTTGAATGCCTGATTACAGGGACATGAGGTGTTTTTACAGGGGGTCATAGTCCCATCAGTCTGTTGCTCTTGCACAAGTTTCTGTTAATGTGCATCTGAATTTCCCAGCCCTCTTTGTAGGTGTCCTTTGTTCACAAGGCTTTATCAAATTCAGATTATTATCTGGAAAGTCAGGGCAGAGGAAAAGAAGTCTTCTCAGATTATAAAATTATTGTTCTTCATTTTAAAACTTCTTTGAAGTTTCTCATTAATTGCAAATATGATTTCTGGGCATACATGAGCATTACCTCTGAGCTGGGCTCTTGTTAAGGATATGCTGCAGGTGACCCATTTATATAGTGGGATTGCCATGCTGAGTTGAATGAGTTAGTTTTTCTGTGTGGATATCTATCTCTGAGTGATCAATACCTGTTGCATTCAGAAAAGAGGGTTGGGAACAGGGTCAGTGGTGTTCCTCAGGATTAATTTTAGGTACTGCTACTCAAGCAAGAAATGTTTCACTAATATCCCTCAGTGTTTGACTTACACCCCAAAGTGTGAGAGATTTTTCCGCTGCTTACACTGCCAGTGTCTCATTTACCTGCACTTAAGCGTGTCATCTTTGTTCAGTTAAAATTTGGGTCTCTGCA